AGACGGGTGCCAGGCCCCCTCTGGGGCACTCCCTGTACACTTACTCATTTAGTCCTTTGCGTGACCCCACAGGCGGCCTGGGTCATTGCCGTTCCCACTGTAGAGACGGGAAGACTGAGGCTGAACCGGCAAGTTAAAGCAGTCACCGGGGAACATGGCCGCTAGAGAAGCCCCCGGCCCAGCACTGACCGACTGACCAAGGGCCCTCACGGGTCCCTCTCAGGGCCTCGGTGCCCCTCTAGCCATGATGAGGGGGCGCCCCCTGACCTGCAGCTGATCCCAGGGGTCCTTGGCCCGATTCGAGCCCCCTCCCCCTCCAGCTGGCAAGGCCCCACCCCCCAGGCTCAGGTCCCTGCGCCGCCTCCTCCCCTGCTCCCTGCAGAGGCCCCCCTGCACCCACCCAGATCCTGCCACGGAGCCAGGACGGTGGCGATGGCCCTTCTAATTGCAGCCGCGCTCCCAAAGCCACGCTCGGTTATCACACAGGGTGCAGACCTCCAGCTCCGTCCCCGCGTCCCAGGCCCCGGGGCCAGCTCAGGAACGGAGGGAATTAATTACATTTTCCCATCCCCTTCTTTTAAAGTAGGGGAGCGCGCCTGCGCGTCCCGGGGGAGGGGGGCGAGCAGAGGCTGAGGAAGGGGGGTCCCCACCCCCGAAACCAGCCAGCCTCTCCCCAGCGGGCGGAAGGGAGGGTGAGGCTGGCCCCTTATTGATTTAGTCTGGTCCGGGCTGGGACTGATTTGGAGCAGAGGGAGAGGAAGGGGCTGGGGGGGGGGGCGCGGGCGGGGGGGGGAGGGAGAGGAAGGGACGGCTGTCAGTCAGCCTGACGGACAGCCCCGAGATTTGCCTTCAGATAAAACCTTACAGATGTGGAGGTCGGTATTGATTTTGAGTTAGTAACGGTAACGTACCAAGAAGTAATACATTAGCAAAAGCAAGGTCACCGAGAAGAAGGCAAACCCACCCGGGGAGAGGCGGGCATTCTGGAGGGGGGTGGATTACCGCATCAGGCCAGGACTTCCTCAAGTTCAAAAGTTTGCAGGCCCCCAGCCTCAGCCGGGCCCCTCACCGTGGGCAAAATGCTTCCCGCTTCTGTGGGCAAAGAGGGACTCCCAGAGTTCCCTGGGCGAGCCCGAGGCTGGCAGAGGGCCACCTGGGCTGGCGGGGCTCTGAGCAGCTCAGCTCGGCCCCCGGTGGGGAAAGATCAGAGCTGGGCATCCAGGAGGTGCACGCAAGTCCCCGCTACGTGACCTCAGGGGGGTCTGTTTACATCCCCTTGCCTCAGTCTCCCCGTCTGCAGAATGGGGGCAGTAATAGCCCATTTGCTTGGGGAGCCCTGGAAGTGACCAGGGTTCGGCCGGGGCCTGGCTTTTCTCGGCAGCACCCCCTCCCTCCTCTCCACTTGAGTCCTGTCCCATTTGCTTGGAAGCAGCTCTGCCTGGAAACAGGGGGTTGGATGAAATGGAAGCCCTTTGATCCGCAGGCCTCCGGGGGCTCTGGGAGAGACTGAGCCGATAGCTCGCATCCCCCATTCACACCTACCCCAGATGTGGATTTGATTTGATGTTCCAGGGCAAATCCCATTGAGCAAATCCCATTACAGGAAAAGCTCCCTGGGCCCAATCTGTTTCTGAGCTGCCTGTTAACGGCCAGGGTCCAAGGCCTTCTGAGCCACTGGGCACCACACAGGCCCCTTCTGACAAAGGGCTGCGGGACGCCTGGCAGCTGCCAGGATTTTTCTTCTCAACGTTGACCTTCTTGCTATTTCTTATACCTGCTGGGTGTGTTCCCACCCCAGGGCCTTTGCACTTGCAGATGGCCCTGCCTGGAAAGCTCACCTGCACATCTTCCCATGGCTAGTCCTGGATATTCCCTCACGGGTGTGTGGGGGGTGTCTTCCTGGCTCCCCACAACCACCACATGCCCTTATTTGTCCTCCACAGCATTTAGCAGGATCAGAAATTAGGTTATTTATCCACACACTTGGTTGTTCTCAGTTTCCCTGGGTAGGGTGTGGAATCGGCATCGTCCATTGCTCTGTCCCCAGTGCCTGGCTCAGGGTCTGGCACATAGTAGGTGCTCACTGAATACACATGGATTCAACAGAGCTTTTCCCAGATCACGGTGTGGGCTGTGGGCGGTAGAGATGGTCAAACACGTTCCGTCCTGCCCTCAGAGAGCCCCGCCGCCTTATCTAGAGCTCCGCACACGGTGGCACCCTGAGAAATGTTTGTTGAATGAATAGATGAAGGAAGGAGGGGACGCCACTTGGCATTGCTGGGCTGTGCGTTACAAGGTGGGAAAGCAGGGAGGAGCTGGGGCAGGCAGGCACAGGTCCCATCACAGGACGCCTTTACGGGGAGGTTCCGGGAGCCACCGGTCATTCTTGAGTGGTGCGGTCCCTTTGGTGGCCGTTCTGCGCAGATCTCTGTCTTACAGACTGAGTACGGGGTCCGGGCACAGCTGCAGCCTGGTCCTCCTCTCCCAGGGGGAGGGAGCAGGCTCCGTGTTTGTGTGGGGCGGGCAGTGGGGGGGATGAACCGTCCATTCCTTCTCTTCTCCTTCCTTCCTGCCTTTTTCTTTCTCTTTTTAATTTTTTTGTGGTGCAGGGATCGAACCCAGAGCTTTGTGCTTAACTCAGCAAAGCTGTGCCACTGAGCTGCATCTCCAACCCCAAACCAGGCTATGATCTCTCTATTATTATTTCCCCCGGTGCCGGGGGTGGAAGCCAGGGCCTCGTGCGGGCAGAGCGGAGGTGCTCCACTGGAGCTCGGCCTGCAGCCCTGGGTGGACGGTGAGGCCTCTCCAGGACCCTTTCTAGCTCCCTCTTGAGAACCCAGAGACACACAGTGGTTCCTGGACGCCTCGGTGGGATCCCCGCAGCTAAGGAGACGAGGCCAGCCGGGCCGCAGCCCAGCAGTGCCCTGGCCCTGGCCCTGGGAGTGGGGACGAGGGACTGGGCAGAGGTGGAGGCTGCTGGGAACACAGAGGAGGAACCCGGGACTCTCTGCTCTGGGAGCCTCGGCCTGGAGGCTCCGACCTGACGCCTTGCCACAAGCTGGGGCGGGGGAGCCTGGGCGGGGGAGCCTGGGCCTGGACAGCTGGCCTGCAGACCTGCTCTGAGATCTGGGGCAGCCCCGGCCTCTGCAGGCCTCAGTCTTTTCTTCTGAGAATTGGGCATCCTGGCTCCGCCCCACTCGTGTCCGCGGGGTTCTGGATTGGGCAGGTAGCGTGGTCAGTGGTCAGGAGGAGGGGAGGCAGGAAGGACGGCCACCAAGGAGGCAAAGCCTGTTCCACGCCGAGATCACTTCGTCCTCAGCTACCCTGGTGTCAGGGCACCAGCACCCCTTTCCCTGAGGATTACAGACGGTCACAGCCGTTGAGGGACACCCCCGAGGTTCCCACAGGAGGGATCCAGGCCTCCGCGCCGGCCCCAGCAAATCCTGAGGCCATGCGCGTACGGGGCAGGTGGGCTCTTCAGGAGGTGCCCGCAGCCTGCTGTCCCCTGAGGGAGGTGGCCGGGAAGTCAGAGAACAGGGCTGTGCATCTGGAGCCTCTGCCCCGAGCGGGGCTGGTGATAGCAGAACTGTCCCCACCTGGCTCCCTCCCTCCCCAAGTGGGTGGCCTTGGCAGGAGGTCACTGGAGTCCTGGGCCCTGCAGGTGGCCCGTCTGTCCTCCCCTGGTTTGGTGGGGACGCTGCCCTCTCATTCCCCAGGGTCTGCCCTGGCGCTGCCTTCTTCTGCTGTCCCCTGGGCCACTCCTCAGCAGGTGACTCTGCTTAGAGCTTTCCTGGACCCCTGAGCTGGCGGGACGCCCTCGTGGGCTCCTCGGCCCTGAGTTGTCTCAGCCCAGTCCCTCAGTGCTCCATTGCCCTGATGGCCTTTGTGTGTCACGAGCCCAAGCAGGCCTGGACCCTTCCCTCCATTCCCCACCCGGGGCAGGGACCAGGACTCTGTCCTCTGAAGTCCCAGGGCTCTGAGGGCCGGGCCAGCTGTTAGCGGTGCCTGTTTGTTGAATGAATAAGTGACCTTCCTCCCGACATCCCAACCATAGCTCCTTTAAGCTCGGTTTCTACAGACAAGCCCCACATATCAGTCCCAGGGCCAGCGCTGAGGGGACATCCCAGTTGCTGTCCCCGGGGCCAAGTAGGGAGGTGGTGATGGTCACAGACATCAGGGAGCTGCCAGAATCAAAACAGGGCCCCCAAGAAGCTACCTTAAGCACTGGCTGCTGGGCCACACATACCTGCAAGCCTGGCGACCTGGGGAGCTGAGGAGGAAGAGGGCGGGAGGTTCAAGGGCGGGTTCAAGGGCAGCCTGGGTGGCTCAGCAAGACCCTGTCTCTGAATAAGGTAAAAAGAGCTGGGAATGTGGCTCAGTGGTAGAGCCCAGCTTCAGTCCCCAGTAACCCTGCCCCCCCCCAATAAGATACAATAAAAGCACCCGCCACATGCTGAGGAGGGGCAGGGGCAGGGGCAGGGGGCGGGAAGGCCGGGGAGTTGAGGGCCAGAGACCAGCCAGCCTCCGCCGAGAGGTGGGTGAAGCCGAGCCAGCGTCCTGCACTGCAGGGGTGGAGGTCGCAGGGGTGGAGGTCGGGCCTTCCCGGTCTCGGGGGGAGGTGCCGTCCTGAACCACGGGGAGCTTCCCGACGAGGGGGAGACCCCGCACCCCATTAGTTCATTCATTCACACACACATCGCTGGCCCCTGTACAGCCAGGCCCGGGGTGACCCCTGAGCCAGGCCATGGGGACAAAGAGGTGCGCCAGGGCCTGCCCTGCCCTAGACTCTCTCAGGGGAAGGGGGACCCCTGAGCTGGGCCGTGGGCAGGAGAGCAGTAGCCCTGTCGCTCCCAAGGGACCCAGACCAGGTAAAGGGGGAGCAGGAGGCCGCAGGGACCTCAAGGGGTCTGCTCCAGCACAGGCCGCCCCGCGCCCGCCAGGCCAGGCCCCAGCGCCCTCCATCCTGGCGGGCCGGTCCCGGCACTGATGTCTCTCGGCAGGTGATGAGCATCCTGAGCAGCCCCAGCGCCGTGCCCCCGCAGCCGCAGGCCGACTTCTCCATCTCCCCGCTGCACGGCGGCCTGGACTCGGCCTCCTCCATCTCGGCCAGCTGCAGCCAGAGGGCCGACGCCATCAAGCCTGGAGACAGCCTGCCCACCTCCCAGTCCTACTGCCCGCCCACCTACAGCACCACCGGCTACAGCGTGGACCCCGTGGCCGGCTACCAGTACGGCCAGTACGGCCAGAGTGAGTGCCCCCCGGGCCCCTGGGGTGGGGGTGGGGCCACCTCACAGATGGGCAGACCCAGGACCAGAAGGAGCCGGGCCTCAAGTCCAGTCGTCTCCTGCCCGGGCCCTGGTGCGACTCCTCCAGGACACAGCCCCGAATGCTCCGTAGCGTTTTCTAGCAGTCGCATCTTCAAACGGCGAAGAGAGAGCAGAATGATCCTTACTGGTGTATTTTATTGAACCCGATCTACCCGAAAGATGATCACTTCAACATGTAATCCACATAAAATTATTATTATTTTTTTAATTTTTAGTTGTAGACAGAATAGCTTTATTTTAGTTATTTATTTATTCATTTTTATGTGGTGCTGAGGATGGAACCCAGGGCCTCACATGCGCCAGGCAAGTGCCCCCCACAGAGCCCCAGCCCCAGCCCTTATACGATTATTAATTTTGGGTTTTACATTATGTCTTCCATGCTGGGCTTTGATATCTGCTGCGTGTTTTACCTGATGGCACTGTGTTTTATTTTATTTCATTTCGTTTTGTTTTTCCATTTTAATTCAGACACTAAACTTGCATCAGAAGCACAGCCCAGGGCTGGGGACAGCTCAGGAGCAGGGTGCCGTCTGGCACCTGAAGCCCTGGGTTCACTCCCCATGATGGCAAAAGAACAGAAATGCTCTCTCCATATTTAAATTTCATAAAGTTTACAATCGAGAAGTAGATTTACACACTCAGGTGGCTTCAGATAGACTGACAAGTTTCCCAACCATGAAATAACTAAGTTGACGAGGGGTTTTTAAATTTAAATTAGATAAAAACTAAACAAACCTCTGAAATTTGGCTTCCTGGCTGCGCCAGCCACCGTTCGAGTGCTCAGTAGCCAGCGTGTGACTAGTGAATGGCCAGCTTGGTGGCACAGTGTGAGATCCTGCCCCGTGCTGTCCCCAGGCTGGGGCAACTGTGTTTGAATCTGGCATCCAGCCCAACTCCTCAGCCTTGGTGTTCCCAGCTGCCATGATGTCCCCTGCCCGCCCCCACTGCCATCCTCTCAGTACCTCATCTGCAGACAGGGGACAGGAGACTCTCAGACCAAAGGCTGGGGAGGGCAGACCTGGCCACGGCCTCTGGCTGCCCGATGGGGCCAACGGCAGGGCAGGCCCAGACGGGACAGGGGTCAGAGGTCACCGGGGCCCCTCCTGCCCTACCTCCCGGCAAGGGCCTCACCTGCTGGTGTCAAACTAATCAGAAGGCGAAGGGAGGGGGCGAGGCCCCCCGACCCCGGGGCGTCCTCTCCACCCGCCCGGCCTGCGCACTGCTTCCTGCCCACTCCTCTCCTGTGGCCTTGGCCTCCCTGGCTAAATGAAGGCCAGCTGCCTCGGCCTTGCCCGGCCAGCTGTGCTCGTGGCCCTGCCCGTGTGTGAACCCGCTCCTGTGCACACATATATTTGGGTGAGTGTGACGGTGGCACCACGGGTGGCCCAGTTCAGGCTTGTGTGCACGTGACGTGTCCTAGTACGTTGGCATTTGCGTAGAGCGGGTGAGGTGTGTGTCCGTGTGTAAGGCACGGTGAGCACGTGGGGGAACGTGGGCGTGCGACTCCACACACACACCTGCTTAGGAAGGGCGTCGTGTGCGCACGGTGCACCTGTGGGTCTATGTGCACAGACACGCGTGTGCACCAATGCACGGGCGTCTCGGTGGCAGTCACGCACGCCCGTGTTTCAAATGTGCCTTCAGGTGTGTGCGTGGGGTCGAGCGAGTCCGTGTGTGCGCGTGCACTTGGTGTGCATGTGTTCGTGTCACGGCGTGGTCCTGCAGAACGAGCAGCCGTGTGCAGGTGTGCATATGTGTGCGCCGCTGTTCCTTCAGGTGTGAGCATGTGTTTGAATCTGTGGGGGGGGGATGCGTGTGGCGTGTCTGTGTGTGACCGTGCGAATGTGTGTTCATGGGAGCACGTGTGTGTGCTCACGAGCAGAGTGCACTCGTGTGCACAGGAGTGCTCCCAGAGGGGCCCTGGCGACCCGCTGACCCAGCGCATGTCCCTGCACGGAGCGGGACACATGCTCTTGATCAAGAGCCGGCCCGGGGCAGGCGTTAGTCACACCCGTAGCCCGTGCCCTGCTCCAGGGGCGCCTGCCCAGCTCGGAAATAGAATTAACCCCAGAGTCAGCGCGGGGGAGCGGGGGAGGGGATCAAAAGGGAAGGGGCCCAGGAGGCGAGAGGAGCCCTGTCCCTTCTCTCTCCTCCTCCTCCCCCTTCCTCCTCCTGCCCCTCCAACTCCAGTTCCCTGTTGGGTCCTCCAGGGAGAGCTCGGAGCTCCTCTTGGGCCACCCTCCCCAGCCCCACCGCTGCTGCCCGCTGGCGTGGGCTCTTGACGCCTGCAGCCTCAGTCCTCCCACCTGTGAAAGGGGCTGGGACGAGACTCCGCTGCCTTCCAGTTTCCTATGGGGCCTTCTCCCTTGCCCTTGGCTTCTTGGTCAGACCCCCTTCTCCACTCTAACCTGCCCCCTGTCCCCAGGCCACTGACACCCTGCGGCTGGGCTCTCGTGGTGTGTGTCAAGAGTCACGCATTCTGAGCTTGCCACGTTGTGCCCAGGGTCACCTGTCCCCACGAACACCTGCCTGTGCATGAGGCCAGCCCAGGGGACACCGGATGAAATCCATGTTCCTTGTTCATGAACTTCTCAAAGCGATTTGTCTCCAACTTACAGATTTAAAAACTAGGCTCAGAGAGGCCAGGTAGCTTTCCCAAGGTCCCACAGCAGGAGAATGGCGGATTCAGTGTCTCCTGACTTCAGCCACCCAGAGCCACAAGCTTGTGTGAGACGCTCAGTTACGGACACCTACTAGGCCTTCCTGTGCACGATTCGTGTTCACAGCTTCACACTCACCCACAGATGCACACTGAGATCCGAGTGCATCACCAGCGTGTGAATACGCTGGTAGAAACAGCAGGTTGTGTGGGAAGGAAGGGACTGACCGTTTATTGAGCATCTACTGTGGCCTGCCCTCCATCCCCACGGCCACCTTGGGCAGCACGTGGCGATTCCTTTGCACGGGTGAGGAAACGGCATCCCAGAGAGGTTATCTCCTGAGGTCACCAGTGGTAGCTATCGGAGTGTGCTCCATCTCTGGAGGGCCACCGCAGGTGTGTGTGGACCACACATGGCCAAACCCCCGTGCAGCCGAGTCCTCTCGAGGCCTCCCACCTTTCCAGGGACACAGTCACACCTTCCTCTCCTGTCTGGCCATTGTCCGTCCATCTATCTGTCCCTCCCTGTCCCTGGAGGGAGTGGGGCAGGGGCCGGAGAGGGGCACGCGGCAGATTAATCTGGCCCTGGTGTTCCCAGAGGCCAGGGCTGAGCTAATGATGCACTGATAGAGCTCAGGAGTGTGGAGAGAATTTTAATCGATCTGACAAGTCTAATAAGAACTTGTGTCTGGACGGGTCCTCCTCTGGGGCTGCGGCTGACGCAGCGCTGACGGCTGGTGTCTGTTTACGGGTTGGCATTGCGGCCACCCTCCTGCCAACGCCTGATTAATCTAATTTGAGATGTTTAGAGCCCAGGCGCGGGCGTGGGGCAGGGGAAGGGAGCCATGGAGAGACAGAGGGACAGGGAGGGCCTGACAGAGGCCCTAATGAGGAATGTCACAGCCCTGCCCTCATCGGCCCCGCCTCCGCCCTGGAGAGGCAGCCACAGTTGGGTGCCCTTGGAGTTGGCTGGGTCGCCAGTGTGGCTTCCTGATGTTCCCTTGGCCACCTTGACAGGGCAGGGCCTGGGAAAGCTCCTACTGTGTGCTGGGCCACGGGCTGGTGGCCAGAGAAGTGAAGGAGGAGGCAGAGTGGCTAGAGGTACCCGAGGGACCCATTCAGGCTCCTCCATGTCACATGCTGTGTGTGACTCTGGGCCATCAACTGTGCCTGGGTCCTCATCACTCCTAAGGCCCAGGGGCTGCTGGGATCGTTAAATGGGGCCGGGCCGCAGCTCAGCGCAGAGCACTTACCGCGAGCAGGAAGCCCGGGCTCCGTCCCCGGCACCGAAAAAAGAAAGATTAAACGGGATCGTGTCCACCTAGTGAGTGTGGAACATGGCGGGTGGGGGGCAGGAGCAGTGTCTGTGACCGGGGAGAGGCCACCTGACTTGGCCGTGTGACCTTGGACATGTCACTGGCTTTGCCTGGGGAAGGAGTGGACCCACGTGAGTCTCGGGTGGAGAGGGCCCCCCACACTCTTCCCCGGTCATTCTGCAGGGGCTGCTGGGGACACTGTGGGGTTTGGGGAGGGGGCCTTGGGCTGCCTGGGTCTGCAGCCTGGCTTCCCGACGTGGGAGCTGTGTGACATTGCAAGTTGGTCCCAGACGTCAGCTCCATTGTGTGGAAGGGGCTCAGCCTCGAAGAGCTGGGGTGACAATTCAGTGACCAAAGAGCTCGCGGTGCTGTGAGCGGGTCCACAGGGCCGAGCTCTGGGCGCTGCCAGCTCTTCCTCCTGCCCGTCCTATCACCCCGCTGAGACCGCGTCCTCCTGGCGGGGCACCCAGCTAGGGGAGACGGCATGGCCAGAGCTGGGGGTCTCTGCAGGCCAGGCACGGTGTACCACCCACCCCCAGAGCAGGGCAGGGGCAGGTCCAGGGCAGGCAGCAGGCCACAGCCCCCTCTGCTCCACCCCCCGGGAGCCTGGAGGCCAGGACTTCAGGAGGTGGGCTGCCCCTGGGGCTCCTCAGACCCTGGAGGGGCTTACCCTCCTACCACCCACCTGGAGCCTGGCTAGCTCAGGGCACAGGCCAGACACTCCAAAGGGACTCGAGGACCTTTGAACATCCTTTAGGAACCCAGGGGCCTTGGCCCAGGCCTTCTGTGCCCAACATCTGGAAGAGCGCCATCTCATGTGACCCTCCTCACAGCAGCCTTGAGCTGGCTGGAATCTGTTCTCCCCAATTTAGAGACGGGGACACAGGCCCAGAGAGGAAGAGTGATTTGCACCAGGTGCTGTGGCCCACACCTGTCATCCCAGCAGCTCGGGAGGCTGAGGCAGGAGGATCACAAGTTCAAAGCCAGCCTCAGCAACAGTGAGGCACTAAGCAACTCAGCGAGACCCTGTCTCCAAATAAAATACAGAATGGGGATGGGGGTGGGGCCCAGTGGCCGAGTGCCCCTGAGTCAATCCTGGTACCAAAAAACAGTGATTTGCCCAAAGCCACATGAGCAGGAGGTGGCCGCCTCTTTGTCACCACTTTCCTTCCGGCCCCGATCAAAGGTCACATTGGCTCACCAAGTCCCAGGCTCGGGGTTCTACCACACTGAGCCAGCGATGGCCGAGCTCACGGCATGGCGGGGGAGGCCCAGCTGACCACACCTGTGTGTGTCCTTCAGCCTTCGGGGGACTCTGCAGCCTCGGTGGGGTAACAAATAGCCCCGTTTTACAGGCAAGGATACCGAGGCTCAGGTGGTGAGATGTTAGGCCCTGAAGTTGACAGGTACTGGACTCGAACCTGCGTCACTGGAACCACAAGGTGATCCAGCCCCCAGCAGCTATGGCTACTGTCCAGGAGGCCCCTGCCTTCCCACTCAGCCTGTGTCCATCACCTGCCCCCCACCTGCTCTAGGCAGCAGGCTCCAACCGTGGGAAACGTAGTAGTGACCCCTGGGGGCGGGGCTGGAGTGGGTGTTGGGCCAGGCCTTGGACGCTAGTCCCCTACTGAGGTAGCCAGAGCACACGGAGGATAGGCCAGGGATCACAGCTGCACCCAGACACAGGTAGACACGTGCACCTGGCTCAGGTGGAACTCACAGCACATAGCACCTGCACAAGCCCAGCCACTTCCTCTGTCATCTACTCCCAAAGGTGTGCCTGACTCACGCGTGTGGGCGTGAACACAAGCGTTGCTCTTGCACGAACACGCACGCAGCCTCATTCTTGCTTCAGGGAGATTCTTGTTTCTGTTCACAGGGTTCACACACACGAGTGCGCACCACTCACTCACACACACACACACATCCTCAGATGCTCGTCCGTCTCCTCTGCATGACCAGAGGTGCCGAGCCTGCACCTCCGGGCCCTGGCTCCTCCTCCTGCCGGACCCCTCAGCTCACCCACGAGGCCGCCTTGGCGTTCGGGTGAGGTCTTGCCTGGCTTCACCCATGAGCTGGGCTCAGGGTCCAGAGCAGGCAGAGGGACCTTCCTTATTGCTACCTGGACTCAGGGGACTCCCTGGTCATCCCCCGCAGCTGGGGTAGGTAGAGGGCTGGTGGGAAGAGGCAATTATTCTTCCCTCGACACTGTGGATCCCCTCTGTGCGTCTGTCCCTGCAGAACCCACGAGAAAGCTATGAACATTAAATGTTAGGTGACTGTGTGCCGAGTGCAGGGGAGGAGGTGAGAGAAGAGCTTCAGGAAGAGGTGGGTGGAGGGCTGGGGATGTGGCTCAAGAGGTAGTGCGCTCGCCCAGCATGCGTGAGGCACTGGGTTCGATTCTCAAGCACCACGTAACAACAAAATAAAGATATTGTGTCCACCTAGAACTGAAAAATAAATATTTTTTAAAAAAGAGATGGATGGAAGGAGGGAGAGAAGGAAGAAAAAAAGGAAGGCCAGGATGGACAGATAGATGGCCAAAGGGTGGATGGATGGATGGATGGATCTTTGGAGGGGTAAATGGATGGGTGGATGGATGAGTGGATGGATATGTGGATGGACAGATGGGTATGTGGGTGGATGGATGGATGGATGGAGTAAATGGAAGACAGACCAAAAGAACCTCAATTTCTAGGAGTTTCTGTCTCTTTTTTTCCAGCTGCTGTTGATTACCTGGCCAAAAACGTGAGCCTGTCCACCCAGCGTCGCATGAAGCTCGGGGAGCACTCCGCGGTGCTGGGACTCCTGCCGGTGGAGACGGGCCAGGCCTACTAGGCTCCTGGGGCGACTGGCCCCAGCCCGAGGCCCAGCCCACCCCCTCCTGACCCCTGAGCCTCCGCCTCAGTCCCCCTCATCCCCCTGGGGCCACGGGAGACCAGGAGGGAAGCCCGTCCCCTGCTCATAAGCGGCCCTCTGGAGATGTGCAGCCCTCCTGTCAGTCACCTGTGGTTGGGGACCCTCAATGGCCCCTTGGAGTCCCTCCCAGAAGGGTTGAGGCCAACCTGCAACGTCCCCTGCTCAGATCTGCTGTGACCTCCAGGACCCAGGGTGGAGACTGAGGCCCGTTCTGAACAGGGCGCCTCGGCCCCAGAGCGGGACGGAGCCTGCGATGCCATCCTGTGGACCTGAGTTCTGCAGCGGGGTGCCCTGGCAGAGGGCAGGGGAAGCTCGGGTGACCCCGTCAGCTACCAGTGCTGGGAACCGCCCCCCCCCCGCCACCGTGGGTCTTTGGCTCAGCACCAGAACCACAGCTCTTTCCTCCTCAGGACACTGGGGCTCCAGCAGAGGGGACCCTGGGGTCTCCCCAAGGGTGTCAGCAGGTGACCGTCTCGGCTTCACCCAGGAAGTTGGAGGACCTCAGGACCCTCCCCACACAGCCCTGCTGAGCCCTCGAGGAGACTGGGGAGAGGGCAGAGGCTTGACCAGGGCCGGGGCTGTGGGGGGTGGCAGGCTGGTCACACCTGAAGGCCACATCTGCTGGCCCAGAGCGCCAGGACCCACCTCAGGCTCCAGGAGGCAGAGGCTCTTCAACCGAAGCCCCGTTCCAGCCGTGTCCACCCCGGGGGAGGGGGGGTCTGCGAAGCTGCTCAGCTCCCTCCTCAGCGGGGTCAGATGGGACACAGAGGGGACAGTCACCAGCAAAGAGGTGCAAGGTGGCCCAGAAGGGACTTTCCTGACCAAAATCCTTTCACTGGAGGGCGGCCAGCCATGGAGGCCAGACGCTCCGGCCCTTGGCCTCACGTCACATCCCTGGAGTCAGGATCCCCACGAAAGCTCCTCAGAGACGGGAGCCCACCCTGCACCCTGCTGCAGGAGAGGCCGCCATCTTCCCGCCGTGGGCCCGGATGTGCCGGGTGCAGGGCTTCCGCCAGAGCTTCGGAGGAGGGTCTTGGACTGGGCAGGGGTTGGCTGCCCTCAGATAAGCCTGCCAAGTCCCCTTGGCGTTTGGGTGGGGCACGTCCCAGTCCCACCCACCTTTCAGCGCTGACTCGCTCTGGGCCAAGAGGCCTCTGTCTCCTGATCGGGTCCAGCTGACCTGGGTGCATGTGGCCATTTCCAAACCATGGGCCTGGGCAGAGGAAGACGCAGAAGGTTCTAGAAAAGAGGAGAAAAGACTCCTTCCTGCCTTCAGCACTCCAGCGGCTTCCTCAAGCTCTGCTCTCCCAAGAGCCGGGGCCTCTGCTTCCCACCCTGCCCCTCCTCCCCGGGCGCTTCCCACCTTCACCTTCATGGAAACCGTCCACCTTCACCCTCACCCTCTTATACGCTTCGCTCAGCTCACCTGCACCAGTGCAGCCGGCTACAGGACACTTGTGATGGGGGACACAGCAAGGAATCCACAAACACTGGACCCTGATGCTTGTCCCCACCTGGGCACGTGAGGCCACCTGTTTGCTCAGTCCAGGCCTCTTGCCCTCAGCCAACGAGACATTCCTAGAGGGAAGGGACGCTGCTTTGGGAGCTCGCCTGAGGTCCTTCCTCCTGGAGAGCCCAATGGACAAGAAGCTAGGACACTCGTCCGCATGGACGTCACCTGTGGGACCATGCTCACCTGTTTCTCTTCGTGAGAACTGATCACACCAAGCCGGTCCTGAGCCCTGACCAGGACGGCTCATACCCCGGGGTTTAGAGCCACCTATTGATAACTGAGGACAAATGGGCTCTGTGGTTGCGGTGGGCACCCGGACAGCAGTGGGCACCCGGACAGCAGTGACCCGTCAGGTTCAGCCAACTGGAGCATCCACTCGAAGAGACTTTGGGTTCTTCAAGCTCTGGACAAAAGGGAAGATCTTGTTGTCCCTTGGAAGTGCAGTCCACACTGTTGTAGCAGAAGGCCAGAAGGCCACTCAGAAGACCAACGCCGTCTTCATCCACATTCCTTAACGGCCAATCCTTCCCTGGAGGCCCGGCTCAGAACACGGCTGAGTCTCTTTACAGCCTGTGTGACTCAGGAGCAGGGCTCTCAGGCAGGTGACATCAAAACTGCCCAGCCCAGCACCAATAGTGACATTCCCATGCTAGGACCAATCCCAATTATCTGCCCCCTCTCCCACCGTGAAACAAAACCAAGACCTGCTTGGGAGTCAACCCAGCGATTTGTCATTACATCCATCCATCTGAGTTCTCCCAAGCCACCGTCTTGGTAGACAATGGTACTTACTGGTTTTCCAGGGGACCCTTAACCCTCAACCGATATTCCCTAAAACCCCGTGTATTTGTGGTCTAGCCAACTCACTCTATAAAATTGGATCTTGTGTTGGCAGCTTGCAGCTTCACCGAGAAAATGATATTGGTTGGACGAGAGGCTCGAAGCTTCAATCCCTGGGGGTTGACCACAGCCTAGAAAAAGGCCTTGAAGTCCAGTGGCCAGGCCGGCCCAGAAACAACCCCACCCATCCCTGTAAATAGAGTCCCTAGCAAGAGCAGAGATGTCTCCTCCAACTGTCCCAAGTAGCTACTGGTCCTACCTATGGGGGCTCCTCTCCTGAGCCCACTGTATATTAGTTGGAAACGTGGTGACGTGCTGTTTGTTTATAGGAAGTTGACTTTTTATATATAAATATATATACTAAAAAAGAAAAAAAGGAAAGAAAACCCCCACAGTGTGTGTCGTGCTAGTGCCAGGGACCATCTGTAGGGATATGTCGCCTATCGTGTGTTCCGGGCTCCGTTGAGTTCCTTCACTTTGTTGCTTTGTTTTTTCACTTGGTCTTTCTCTCTTGCTATGAAAAAAAACAAAGTGACGTGTAAGACCCGAGGTATGCTCTTCTACTCTTATTTTTTACTTGATTCACTTTTGATGCTCTTTTGCCAGAGGAACTGAAAGAGCAGAGGAAGCCGAGAAGTAGGGGGATAAGGAAAAGAGAGAGAAGACGCAGGCAGAGGTGGGTCGGCCAGCAGACGGGCGGAGGTCGGATGTCCACCTGACCGTGGGGGAGAACAGGACAGGTCCTGGACTTGGAGCAGGCCGCCAGCGATCCAGTGTTGTCTCGGATGGAGCTGGTGAAACACTGTGGGATTCGGATCTTGGACCTCAACCCGGAACTCCACGTTTGCCAACTAAACTCTTTCTCTGGATCTTCTCTCGGGCTGATGTTCTCCTCGAGCTCCTGAATGTGTCTTTCCATCTTGGATGCTTTCGGGGTACACGGGTCTTCTCTCCTCCCCTCCTTGCAGAAGCATCCAGCCAAGACCAAATGGGCGCACTCCAGCCGCCGTCTTGAATGCTCCGAGACACCTGTGTGCTGGAGGCTTCTTCTGTCAACTTGGACATGGCCAACCCCCTGACCTGGGAAATTGCCACATCGCACTCTAGATCATTCCTCCTTCCTTGTAACGGCAGCACCATTGCTCCCGTGTCTGACTCTCAACAGTTTTCCTCCACATGGAAGAGTGTGTGCGTGGAGAGGGTGTGCGTGGGTGTGTGCGGGCGCGTGAGGGTATGTGTTTAAATATAATCGCACCATAATTTATTCAGCTATATGGAATAGTAGACTAGAAAGAGAAACTGGTATTTGCTTTAACTACCTGCTGCTTGTAAGCGCTGCCTCTGTAACTCAGGCGTAACCGTTATACATTAAAAGAAATTAAAAGCATTTTAAAGGTTCCGTGTACTCCACTGATTGCCATTTGGGGCTGGGGACTGAGGGGTGTCGGGGAAGCCTTTTGACCTAGTACAGAAGGTCAGGGTGGGAACGGGGACTCTCTCGCACCCCACTGAGTCCCCCAGTGCTAAGCAGCTACCAGTATGCAGTGGGTGCCTAATCGATATCTGATCAACAGATGGAGTTGCTGGAGCAGCTCTGAGCTCAGAGGAACAGTGCGATGTCAGAAGGAGAGGGAATTGGGTTCCCTTCGCCACAACAAACTTCCTGTCGCTAAGCTTAGAACCTCCTGAGTTCTCTCCCGGGATACAGGATGGAGAGGCGGGAGAGGGCTTGGAAGCTGGCATGTCACCTGATGTGGGGATTCCTGGGCAGGGAGTTGCTGAGCCCGTGGGGTGGCCTTTTGTGCCCCGCCCCGTCCTTGGCTACTGGTGCCCTGGGGTGCGGGTGGCTGAGTAGAGACCTGCGTGTCCTGCAGCTCTGATTGAAATTCTGCAAGAAAGGAGCTGCCGCGAGCTCTTCACAGCATTTCAGGGACATGTGCACTGTCCCCGTAGAGGGGACCTGGGCAGGGGCCAGCAGTGTCCATGCCACCGTGTTCCCCTGGCTCTGAACTGGGGTCTGCACCCCTTTCCAGGGTTCTGGTTTCCTTGGACGGTCTTCTAAACAGGAAGAGGGCAGTAGGGCAGTTTGGGAGAGGAATCATAAATGAAGAATTGACTAAGGTCAAGGTTCCTGTTGACCTTAGCGGATACGGCCCAGGCCTGGTCCTCCAGGGCAGGACCCAGGGGGAGGCTGGGTTCTCCCAGGGTCTGAGACCAACCGAAGGCTACCCCCAGGACCCTCCCCCATGCGGGGTCCCTGCCGTCCCTGCAAAGTCCCAGCAACTCATGCTTCCGACTTCGATCCATCCCATCCATCGTGTCTGTCCCTCTTCCTCCCCCTCCCCCACCAGGCCACCATCACTCAGTCAGGAAGACACAGGAGAGAGTCAAGAGCCAATCAGACCCCACCCTCGCTCTGTGTTAGACTCTTCGTGGGTCCTGGGACAGTTTTCATTTTTAGAAAGCAGGCTGGACACCCTCTAGGGACCCCCCGGTCACCATCACAGTCACCTGAGCTGAAGGCAGGCTTGGAGGAGCCCCAGTGGCCTGAGAGCTGGGAGCTGTC